TTTAATAACTATGTCCTGAAGAAGGTCTATTAGACTGAAATGTCTGACGTCAACATTGAAACAGCATTCTTGCATATTCGGATTTTTGTTTTTCCATATTTTTCTTCACCCATATATATATATATATATATATATATATACTAAAAGATGTTTACAATGTAAATGTTAACATTTAATTTGCATGACAATTTTAAAAAGCATATTTTAATATTTCATTTTTATTATTTCTAATGCAAATTTTAAAACTTGTTTTTTTATTGCTGAAAGGATGCTGAAAATTTTTTTTTTTTTTTTTTTATTCCCTTGGGCTGGAGTCATAACTTCCAAGTGAATTCTCTTGAATCTCATACTCCAAACTTAACAGCCCCCCTCTCCCAAAGACCACCTCTTGAATATGATTAAATTTTTTGTGTTTCTTTTTACTGTGTTTTTTTTTTTTCTCTTTTTAAATTCATGCTTGTGTGGAAAGTATTTCAATCTGCCTTGTGAAAATACAGTTGTAAGTAGGAAAAATATTGGTTTTTCTATTTAAAGAAAATGGAAAATAAATACAATCTTAACTGCTAAAAATAACATCTTTTTCGGGGGGTAGGGTTGTTTTTCATTTTTTTAGACGCAAGCTGATAGTAAACAAAAAAAAAAAAAAAAAGAAAAGATTTTATCGAATTCTGTGCCCAACAACGAGAAGTTACAATTTTATTCCCAGCAGCATTCATAGTAGTAACCATTGTTTTCATCTAACATTTCATTCTACCGCAAATTAGTCAAGCATAATCAAAAAGAAATTGATGGAAATTTCTGATGTCAAAATAAGCTTTTCAATTTTAAAACTCTACTAAATTATCTGAATAAGGAAGAAAAAAATAAGTTTGTTGAATTTATTATTTTTTAAAATGCACACATTTTGAACTTTCTTTTTTAATCAAATTAACCCTAGCAAGGTAACAAAGCCACTAAGATGCAAGGGATTCAGTCAGTCAGTTAAGTGCCATGCATGATACATGCTTAGGTGATCTTTTGATACATGACTGTCGAGGTAGATTTTTTCCCCACAGTAGGTTGCCATTTCTTTCTGCGGTAGACCAGTTGCCATCCAACGCTAACCTGGTCTGTCCTGCTTTTTACCCATAGCTGGGGGAGAAAAGGAGGATTCATACTTTTCCCAAGGTTATTAGCATGTAAATGAATGTAATGAATTTGACTGGAATTCGAACTCGGATCTCCAATTCCTCAATTCAAGCCGCTATCCATTACTCCACTGAGCCTTCCTTAAACAATTACTGAGTGTAAAAAAAATACAAGAAAAAGAAAAACATTAAGGAGCAAGAACAATAAAAGAACAGGAGTTAAGATAAGATATAATGATTCACATTGCATTTTAATTTATGAAGAACAAAGTTGACTGGAAAGCAAGAAGCTGGAAGAGAGTTCCACCAGCGAGAAGTGCAATAGAAGAAACTGTTAGCATAGAACTTACGGTTACGTTTAGCCATTTCAGCTGTAAAATGGTGAGACCTTGCTGCCAATCTAGTACTGTGTTTAAATTTATAAAATCTTAGTAAAATAATACTTATTTTGCAAATACAAAAAAAATGTGGCACAAGGCCAAAAAAATGGAGATAGGGAAGGCTAGTCTTCAATCTGTCTTATCTTAAACTTAGCTAACCTCAATTACTGACCCAAATATATCACAGTATTCCTTGCACCAAAACAATACATTCTCATGACAGCCACCATAATACCTCAAAGTCTCTATGTAGTCGGAGCAATATCCCATATGTATAATTTACTTTGTGGAGGGGATAAAAATAACATTTAAAAATGGAACCTCAAGGAATACCAAAGTGGAAAGTTTATCAGAACAATTACTGTGAAAGTATTTATAGAAAAGGCACAGAAAGGCTGTGTTATGACTGAAGCCGAGATGCCAGGTCAGGACCAATAACAGTGCAAATTCTTCTTTGGATTTGATGAAGAAACTCTAAATATATAGAGGAGCAATAACTGAGCACTGAAAATAAGAACGAGATGAGATATCCCTAGACATGAACAGCTGAACGAGAACAGTCTAAGCCCACAGATTAAATAAAGGGTTCAGTTAAAACCTTAATGTAGGTAGATATGCACAATGTGATAACAACAAAGATGAAGACACATGTCTGCATGTAAATAATAACTCCTCATTCCAGAAATTCAGATCATGGCTCATCACAGCTTCAAAATTCTTTCTGTTCTGGGTATGACAATAAACTACATCAGATAACAAGGATTCTGATCGGGAGGTTTTGAGGAGCGTTGAACCACCTCTTAATTGCTTGTGTTCCCAGGTCCACCCTGACCCGGGGTGGTAGCACCTGTTAGGGTCCTATCTATGGGAAAATAGTTAACCCCTAAACTGGAGTCAAAATACTGTGAACGTGTAAAAATAGGTTTGAATAACAGCAATATGCTTTGGGAAAAAATATCAGCAATAAATTTTTGAAAAAAATATATATATATA